GGAGAGACCGGCGTGGGTTTGGGGGAGAGACACTCACTTTTCCTCCACGTGGGTGAGGGAGAATTTGAGGCCCAAACTCTAAGCGGTCTCTGACTCGAAGTCCGCTTCGAAATGCCAGACTTCCTTTTTTTTTTTTTTGCTGCAAAACAGCAAAATTTTCCACCTTTTTTGCAGTTTTGTGTCGTGTGTCTTCACTGTCACATTACGGAATAACATGCAGCATAAATTTATGCGTGCAGCCCTTTGGTGAGCGAGGAATAGGGGATACTGCTCGTAAGCTTCTGTCAGCAGAAGAAGGCAGCAGGGGATGAGGACTGTAGTCTCTAAGTTAGGCTAAAGTCCAGTGTTCAGAACAAAGGCGATGTGATTGATACAGAATAGCTTTATACCAGAAAGATAAACTTAATCTAAGGTATTTAGCAGTCATTTTATGTAGTTACTGGAGTCGGGGGTGTTATTTGGGTGTTGACTTTATGCAGTGTGGGTTTTTTTCTGGTTAGAGCACTTATCCAGAAAGTGAGGGATCTGGACCGCATCCCCTGCAACCTGTGGAAGTGCTGCTTGTGAGGCGACAGGCAGGTTCGAGGTGCTCCGCACCACTGCTGTTGAATTTTTTTACTGCTCAACAGCATTTGTAAATCCAAGTAATTCGGTGACAAAGGCATTCAGGTTTGCTTTGGTGTCCGTTGTAGGCTATCGGTGACCACAGATGTGGGCTGTCTGGTTATTGAAAATGTGACTTGTCTCAGTGGTGAAAGGACTCAGTTTTCAAGAGTTCGTTACTGGACTCCACTACTCCTGAAATATGGGGATTCTGTTTAAAAGTTGGCATAATAGTGTTGATTTGGAGAAAGGGTATATTTTGTTCCACAGGTATCCTGGGTGCAAGTTTGTTGGTTATGTTGTAGTGGCAGGTACTCAGTGTAGCTGCATCATACCAGTACCGGGTGTTCTTATATTGACAATATCTGACTAGTCCAGAGAAAACATCAATCTTGTGAAATATTACAACTCTGGCTAGCCAGACTCTGGCTAGCCAGTGTGCTTGCTTGGGAGGCAAGAATTTGGCAAGCTCTGAAATCTCTTTAGGGTAAAGGAGAAGAAACTGGAAAACATAAAAATTGCTAAGCTCGGTTGTGCTTATTTGGGGAGGGTTGGCTCTTTTAGGGGTGCAATGTGGAGGGAATGACTCCAGGTTTGGGCAGTTCACTTACAGGCTTGTGTGTTGTCTTTCCTCTTTTTTTCTCCTCTTGATATCCTGATTTTCAGAGTTGTTGGGCAACCAAAGACCAGTACACCTCTACCAGCTTTTGAAGATACAGATATGAAACTGGGACAAAGAATAAATGTTTGATGGGAACTGGTGTATTAATGTTTATAGTTGACCTTATTCCCTATTCCTAGTGGAGTTCCTGGTGCAGCTTTATGTTACACTTAATCTCTTCCAGTGACAGGCTGCTATCTGCCTCTGTCTCCCTTAGTTCAGATCTAGAAATCACATGGTCTTGAGATGAGTTGTTCTCCCCCACTACTCTGATGGAAAGTGAACAGACCTTGCCAGAAAAAAAGTAAAAAATGTTGATTTTTAACAAGTTGAACTTACTGATATGGAAGTACAGGGTTGCCGGTTATGATGCAGGTGAAGTTGAAGTGTGCTGTGATGGGTGATGCAGAGAATAGAAATGTCCTTTTGAGTAGTGTCCTGCAGTCAGACTGCGTATGAAATTGTAGTTTCTGTTAATTGCCCAAAGCTGATCTAAAACTGGTCAGCGACTGGGTGGGTTGCTTTGTGCACCCTTTTTTTCAGTTCTCCTCGTCTTTACCTTAGCTCTGGCTGCTGACAGTTGGAGGGCCGGTTGGATTAGTTAGCTGATCAGACAGCAAGCTAATTTTATTTTTGGTTTTGGGTTGTTTTTTTTTTTAACTTAGCTTTTAGTTGAAGCAAGTATCTGTAGAAAAGCGCAGGAGGGAGAGGTGGGGCTTCCTCTTCTAGTGGCCGTGCTGACTTATTGTAGAACTGTGCTGTGCTGAGGGCTGCGGAGGGCGTACAGAAGTCTCTCAGAACAGTTAGATTCTTGGTATGGCTAAGCATAATGTTTTTACACAAACAACTTCTTCCTTCAGTACTTCAGAAGTACTCATTTCATCTACGTCAAAGTTGTTTTCTAGGGAAAGCAACCACTTTATCTTTAGACATTTTCTTAAGAGCAGCTACCAGTATTCTGAAGAAACTTCACTAGATCACAGTTCACGTCTCTCCCTCTTGGATTAGTCCTCATGTGACTCAATTTCTGTTTCTAGGGAGGAAAGCTATTATGTTAGTAATAGATTTAAATATGTGAATCTAAATAACACCAAGTCCTAGGAGATCTTCTGTTCTTGTGGAGGAGAAGAAAAAGTGAAAAGGCCAAGTGCCGCAAAATTAGCTGAATTTATACAGCAGTTAATGATATCTTTATTACATTCTATATAATTTGAATGTTTTCAGGATGATGCCGTTAGTATTGAAAGCGGTACTAACACCGAACGCCCTGATACACCAACAAACACTCCTAATGCGCCGGGAAGAAAAAGCTGGGGAAAAGGAAAATGGAAGTCAAAGAAGTGCAAATATTCCTTCAAATGTGTAAATAGCCTAAAGGTAGGTATGTGTAAGCTTCAACATGGGAATGCTGGACATCGCTTTCTGGCAGTGATGTTAATGTTGACAGTGAGACCGTGTCAAGGTAGATATTTTTAAATATCTGTATACAATTATGTTGCATGCTCATTTGAAGAAAGTACCTTTCTTATTTGGAATAGCTGAAGTTTTGAAGAAAAAGGATACTGAGAAATAGGAAACAGTAGGTAGGTAGCAATTAACCCAATTTTTATAAGGTTTGCAAAGTTATGTGAGATATGTTATCATTATGTATTTCATTGAAGCTGTAGTTGCTTGAGGTAAAGATAAGAAACTGGATAAACAAATTCAAATAAAACAAAACCTGTGACAACTCGATGCAAAGCACAGAACCTGTACAGATTTTTCTACCTGTTGAAATGTATTTAGAAAAAACAAAAAAACAACCCAGCAATCTTGCAGTAGCTTTTTCCTCACGCTTATCAGATATTTTCTGTCTTCTGGCAATTGTCATAAATGCTATATAGTGCAATTTGGTTAATTTATCGTGAGCATTGTGACTATGTGTTCACACCTGATTTAGGTCATATTTATCTTCCCACATAATACCTGATCGTGTTAAGGGTGTGGATTCATGGTCTTTACTCCCTGTTCTTGTGTTTTAGGGTATTATTGTTTTCTTCTGCACTGGTGACAGACTGTGGTGAACCAAATGATTTTTCTCTTTCATTCTTTTACACTGTCAGGATGTTGTTCTTTCATTCCCCAGCCTTGTGTGGGATATTTATGTGGCAAAAGCTGTAAATGTGCCATCTGATTTGATTTTTGTAAGATTTCTAAATAAAGGAAAGATTGTGCCTGGAACAAGATGGGAGTTTTGTTAAACTTTATATTTAGCTAACAAGAGGATGTGTGCAGCTCCATATAGCTGATATTTTCTGCAGAATTGCTTTAAGGGGTTTTTGTCATTCCCCCACACTGAACGTTGAGCTGTGCTGTTGTAGCTTGTTTCTGAATCTTGGCTTCAGACTGCCTCACTGAAATGCTGGGGTAGCTGAGCGGGAGGGGATGAGAGGTTTGGAGTATGGAAACCTCATAAAGGAGCTTTGCCACTGGAGAAATTGTGATATGAAGTTATACTGACGAAAGTATCTGGGGAAAAAAGTTGATCTGAATGTGTTTTTTGAAATATAAAAAATATCTACAGTCCTTTCAGGGTGTAGAAGGAAGGGAAGCTCTTTCATTTTCGTCTAGGTAGGCAGCTGTTCCTGTGATTTGCATGAATCGCCCCCGCAGGTAGTGCTTTTTGTGGCTTCAAGTCAGGCTTCAAACACAGGCGCAGGCCTTTCGGCACCTAAACATTTAACAAATTCTGAGTTTTGCTAAGCATATTTGTTTGCTATCTGCAGACCAAATGTTCTAAAGTAGTTAGTACTTTTAAAGTGTCTTTCAGGAAAACAGAACAATCCCTCACCCCAGCTTCAACCCAGGCCCGACTATAGGGTGATCCTATGAAGTTAAGCAATCCCTGACTTCTGTGTGTTTGTATCAGGGGACAGATTCTTGTGCAAGTGGAATCAAGCTGTGAGGGAGTAAATGTAGCGTTTCAGCTAAGTGGGATATTTTTACTATCTTCCCCCCCCCCCCATTTCTCTGAACTGAAATTAATGCTAATAATAATAAATGTGCATGTTAATACGAAGACTAGGTAGCAGCCAAATTTGGTAACTCCTTTTTACTTCATGTTTGAGGAAGCCTCTCTTTTCTTTTTCCTTTCCTCCATACTAATTTTGCAGATACTGTGGAGATAAACTCTAACAATTGAATGTTGTATATGGGTTCAGAAAGACACTTGTGACTCTTTGGGTATCACATCGTCTATCCCACAGTTTATATGTCTTTGAACTATGCTGTAAGGTGCATGTACTCAAATTAATGAAGAGTCAACATGATTTAAAGACATGGAAATTAATTTTAATATTCTTTAGGGATGTATAAATTATGTGGTTTTCCACTTTCCTACTCTTGTTTTTCCCTCTAATTTTGCTTTTTACTTTTTTTACTTGGGAAAACAAAAAAATTTGGCCATTACCGTCTGCTTTGAATGTTAAATGGTTATGATTCAGCCTGAAAAACGCAGTGCTTGCTAAATATGCTTCTTAAACACTACTGTGGAAGTTATTTTGGGTGATATTTAAGCATCAGGAAAACAAAAATATAACTTGGAAAATGACAGGAAATAAAACACTGCCTTTTTTTTTTTCCTTTTTGCAGTACTAAGTTACTATAAGGTGTACTGAAAAATCTTTACCCTCTGTGGGCTGAATGGAAATGTAGTTTATAAATGAGTATATACAGCTAACAGATGCACATCCTCACATACATGTATAAATGTTTTGCTTATTATTTGCCCTACCCTTGCTCTAGCTTAGGGTGTGGCTCAGTGGTTGTTAGCAGTCCAGTGTTTTCTCTCAGCTTCTACTCGCTGTCCCCTGAGCTGGGAATCAGTAACCAGCCACATGCGAGATTCTACCTTGTGGATCTGTAAAGGGGAGGTTACTAAAACCACTGTCAATAATGGATTGCTTCCACTTCTGGGAACTAGAAATGCATGTGTGGTCAGTTGGTTCCTCGCTAGCAGTGTGGGTGACAGCTTATTAAAATGCGTTCATGTAGTTGCAGGTGATTATTTTTTGTGTTGGCATAGTATTTACTTCACTGCCTTCAGTCTAAAAACAGGTCTAGTCTTACTGTCTGACTGAACCTGAGTTGGCGTTGAGCGAGTAAGGGCAGAACTAACCATTGATTATTTATTTATTTGCTTTTGTAACAATTGTAGGTCTGTTTTCTCCCCTGCTTCTTTCTCTGGTGCATGAAGAACCTGAGTACTTTGGGGTTTGTGCCCTTTGTTCATACCAGGGTCAAGATGGCATTTCACAGTTCTACTTTTGGACCAGCATCTGGGTCACTCTTCTGTCTGTACAAACCAGTGGTCAGATTTGTGTGACACACTTGGCATCTCAGGATAACTGTAATGTGCAGCAACTAAAAGTGTAATGTTTTTAAAAACCTGCTTCATTGTTTAGCACTTGGGACAAAAATTAGAGCACAGAGGTATTATCAAAATAGCTATGTGCTGTCTCTGACGAGTGAGGATGATGGTACTTTAAATGAGGTGAGCATAACTTCTTCAGATACCCTAGTGACTTCCTGCAAGAGCCTCTGCCTGACTCCTCCATCCATTAAACACCAGAAAAACTGCGATATGTACGGTCAGGCTCTTGGAGGTTGTAGCACTCGATGCGAGGAATGTAGTGCGGATGATGTAAGTAGTCTAAAGACGTTTGTCTTGCGAAGTAATTTTTCCAGGGAAATAGGTTGTCTTTGAAAAAGCTTACTAAACACTTTAAGTATGTACTCAAATACAGAAATATAGAAACAGTATAGCCCTCTGTTGAATCTCTCTACTTACTATGTATCACCCTAATCTGGATCCTACCTAGAAAATCACAAACTTATCACAGCTTATGCTGGAAAAATATCCTATCTTGAGAGGGAAAACATCTTCCTCTTCACTTTAGCCATTTTACTAAATTTATCAGAAATAGTGCACATGACAGAGAACAGGGTTATTCCAGAAAAACAAGCACAAAGCCTGCTAATGTATCTCTGTAATAAAGCAGTAAGAATCTGTGCATTTTACCTGTGTTATCTTCATGCAGAATGTCAAAAGCCCTCAGTATTCACCAGGATGAACTCTTTCACACAGAAATTCAAAACCAACTAAGTATTTTAAATTATAATTTTTTAATTTTTTTTTTGTTTACATTTTTTTAAAATACCCTGTATTTGATCTCTCAGCCATTCTCTTCAAGGAAGACTTAAATACACTCAAAAAACAAGCTTAGAAAGTAAATTTCATAACTTTATTGGACACTAAAAATCATGGCCTTGTGTATGCAATTTTATGGCATACAGTTTTCCTCATTCTTCTTCTCTAATTAAACTATAATGCTTTACAGAATGCTGAATACCTGCTTTTTCCTTCTGTCGTGGGGTCACTAATAACCTTGCTACTTTTCCCTTTGCTAATATCCCATATCCCTCATCACATAAAGCCACTAGTCTGTTCTTTCATGTTATGACGGGTAATACTTCAAGTTAAACTTTGAACAATTCTTTTTAATCTGTATTCAGCTTTGAAATTTGTCACCTCTCTAAGAATTGCAGGAGGGCCTTCATCTCTGAAAGATTTTCTCCCTTCTCTTTCTAGCTCTTCTAGCTATGTCTGTAAATAACAGATATTGCCTTTCTCAGTAAATAATGCTATTTCAGATTCTTCCAGACTTCCTTACTTTTCTTTTTCTGAGTAGCGTTGGACTCCCCACCCATACCCCCTCCTCAAATTTACTGTTTGGTTCTTGGATAGGCCGGAGCTGCCAGGACTAATAACTTCTCGTGTTGTCTCTGAAGCACTGCCATTTGAAGGCTGCTTAACAGCCATCATGAGACACTTCCTTCCTGCCTGCACTGTCCCAGACAGTCCCCTGTGGGGAGGCACTTTAATGAACATTATTCTTACTGAAAACATCCTGTCAGGACAGGCCAAAATACTGTTATCAATTATTAGCAAGCACCACCATATTCATCACAATTCATAAACATATCTGCTTCTTTTTTTTCTCTATTAAACTGAGGTAAGCTGTATAAAAATAATACTTGGCATTTCTCTGGTAACTGTTTGTGAAGGCAATCTGAAAACACTTTGTAGACATGAGCTTTGCAGCAGCATCGTGACATGCTGGAGTGAGTTCGTCATGTCTCTGGTAGAGTTGCAAGACCTAACTGTGCTGTAATAGTTAAATGTGGCCCCTCTCCACCCTTATACCAGTACAATTCTTCTCTCTCCTAATAATTCTTCTCTGTGAAGTTGTAAATCGTTGTGTGGAAGTAGTTGTAACAGTATAAAATGCATATAGATGTGGCCTTAGATGCAGAGGTTGCCTTGTTGAAAATTGCAAAAATAGTAGAGCTATAAATACAAGTCAGGAGTTCTGCCAGCTTCTGGCCATAACTGTGAGACAACATTTCTTCCCCTTCACTTTTTAAAAGCTTGAGGGTTGGGGGGGAAGGAAGAGGGGGTGGGGTGGAATATTCCTTTAAGCTCCCTTAAGACAGCCAAGTTAGAATGTGATGTTACAAAACTGTTCTTTTTAACTGTTCACTGTCTGAAATTATACTGGATGTGAACCCAGTAGTTTGAGGAGGAAAACATATCAATTAAACTACTTACCACCACAGCTGAATTTCACAGAAATAATATGCCCATGGGTTTTATTTTTTTTGTCTCTAATCTTACTTTACATCTACAGGAGGACCATGGTCAGCCTTTGTTTGGAGTCCAGTTTAACTGGCACAGTAAAGAAGGTGATCCTCTTGTTTTTGCCACTGTAGGCAGCAACAGAGTGAGTAATCTGTTTTTAACCATAAGCTCTTCCGTGTGGTTCTGCTTGCATTCTTTTCTTCAACCAATCCCTTTACCTGTGTTTAGTATGGACACAGGATACTTCATACAGAAAGCTTTATTTCTGAGGTATGTAGCATCTGTTGTCTGGGAGAGCTGCGTCCTCTGGATTGTTCTATGAAGTCATGTGTTAGCTATTTGGGAATTAGCCTATATAGTAAAGAAAAAAAATCCTTCAGTAAACATGGGATAAGGAAGAGAGGTGCATAAATGTATCTTCACACTAAAATTACTCTTCATAGATGCTATTGTTTCCAAAAGGTCATATGCTCTAAAATGGGATGAGAAGTGTCTGCAATGATGCCAGGCAGCTCAGTAGCTAAATTAATGGCCTGTGTGGAGTGAATTTATAGGCTTTTTCTGAACAAGGATCTATGTCATTTCAGTCTTGAAAATAACTCCTGAAGTGCATTCTATGCAAGTGTTGTGAATAAACAAGAAGCCTTTCATTTCCAGGTTTGTTCCACCTGGCAGTTACCAAAAGTGCTAAACTAAGATTAAACAAGGTATCAGTGGCTCATTAAAAGACCAAGTCACGTTAGAGATGGCTGCAGTAACTAATTCCAAATAGAGTTTAATCTTACTAAGACAATTCAAATAATAGATTTTAGTATCTGGGAAGGACTGCTGACAAGTCCTGGAGTGGTGCTTTACTGAGACTGCTGTGAGCATTCTTTTATCAAACCATTTCCAGCTGTTGGAAACAAACAGACGATGGATGAGATCTAAACCATAAAGGCACACTACCTCTCCCATCAGGAAGTCAATACACAGGTGCATGTGATTTCCTTTTGAAATATCACAAGTAAGCAGGAATCTCTCCCACTTTTTTTTTCCTCCAGGTTACTTTATATGAATGTCATTCCCAAGGAGAAATCCGTCTGTTGCAGTCGTATGTGGATGCTGATGTATCCTTTTCAGTTAAAAAGCCACTTATTTGCTTTCTCTTTATCAAAAATGAAGAGGCTTTGTAGGAAAAAGCATACAAAGGTTTTGTCTGTGATTTAATACTTTGCTCATGCAGCACATTCCTTTTGTCAGGTCCAAGTCTTACCTCTTTCCCACATCCTAGAGTCCCTCCTATTGAAAAAATACTAAAAACGCAGACTCATGAAACATGCTGTATTAAAATATTTGAAAACTGATTCTCCATCAGTTTAATCTTCCCAACACTAATATTTGTGTAATGTTTCACATTTGCTACTTTATAGTGGTCTCAGCTTCCCTGTGAATTGGAACTGTGTTTAAAGCCTAAGAATTATGTTTCATGCTCTGAAGCAGTAATAACTTGTGTTGATCGTTTGCAGTACACAAATCAGTAACTTGTGAACTCAGTCTCGATTCATCCTCATTTTATTCCCAATCTTCGGATGTTTTGGAGAAAGAGGTTGAAAAGCGATGCCAAGAAAGAGAAGGTGTTCCTTGCGTGTTATGGAACAGAAGTGAGGAAACTGGCATCTATAGAGAAGGAGATGTTGCTTATATTTGCAGATGTATAATCAAATATGTATCTTTTTCTTACTGGGTCCAGCAGAGACTCCTGGGCACTTTCGTGAAATAGCAACAAGTTTACTTTAAAAAAATCACATTGTTAAAAAAAAAAAATCTCCTGTTTCTTCTGTGTTCCTTAATGTAAGATGATGTAGGCAGATGAAAATTTCTATACCTGTGCGTGGACATATGATAGCAATACAAGCCATCCTCTTCTGGCTGTGGCAGGGTCCAGGGGTATTATTAGGATAATTAATCCTATTACAATGCAGTGCATAAAGGTGAGTGCTCAGAACTTCGAGATACAGTTTGCGTTTCAGTAAGGCATGAAACTTATGTCTTCTAAATACATGTAAACATGAGGGGAAATGATAACTTGGTCTCTGAATTCTATCCCAGCACTACGTGGGCCATGGAAATGCAATCAATGAACTGAAATTCCATCCAAGAGATCCAAATCTCCTTTTATCTGTAAGCAAAGGTGAGGAAAAAACCCTCTTTTGTTTTTGTATAAATCAGGATACTTTGGATTGGATTTTGGTCTTGAAAATGGCCAAAACCTCTATGAATTTTTTATGAATGGCACTGAACAAGTTTACCTTAAAAGTTGAGAGCAAATCTTGCTCTTTCATGGCTATATATCTTGTACATATTAAATCCATGGCCTACAATAAACATAACTCCACCTATGGTGCAAAGGGATTGCGAACAGTACTGCTTTTTAGCAAAGAAGAAACATGAGCACTGGGGTTGCTCTTTCCTTTCTAACAGTTGAGTTAAATTTTTTCCAGTTGTTGAATCATGTTGCCATCTAGTGGGGATGTCTTAAAGTCTTAAACGCAGATAGCATTTACCACCATGTTCATGGGGAAAACTTCGATTCTCTGTTGCTCAGGAGCAGCTCTGACTTCAATTGGACTTTGTGGAAAAAGCACATTAGTGAAGGGAGAAGTGAGTTTTTGGTACGGTGTTTTATGTCCGGAATGTCTTAACTGTCACAACTTCCTAATCCTGACTGTTTTGTTAAGTAAGGGAATACTTGATCTGCTGCAAGAGCAAGCCTTCAGGAATGCTAGAGTTGGAAACGTTCACATAAGGGGACTTTTGACTTTAGCATATTTGGTATTACTGATGAAGCTACACAAGAATAGGAGTTGGGAACCTCTGATTCTTGCAACTGTTGAGTTTGTGCTGTGGGTCTGTAATGCTGAATTTCTTGAGTTCTGTATATTTTTTAGGTTCTCTTTTTAATAACATTTTGACATCAGCCGTAGTACTACAAGTTTTAATGTGCAATCTCTGGACCAGGTACTATCTCTGAGAGGGCATGAGGCAGGAGAATATTGGAGTCTCAGAACTGCTTGGCTGAGAGATGAGTAGAAAAAGAGGAAAATATTTGGGACTGTGTGGCCTTCCATTTGATGTTGCTGTAATTCAGTGCAGTGTACTTGTGGAATCCAAAAGGGAAATACAGTAGAGGTTCCCATTTCCAAATGGGAAATACAGTTCTTCATTAGAAATTGTTAAAACTTTCTTTAAACAAGTGGATTAGTCCGATTGACTTTGGAGTATATATTGTTTATAGAAACAGTTTCTCCCATCACTACAGTCTGTGGTTCATAAAGAATAACATTTTAAAGATTAAAAAATCGGAAAATCAAAACTTCTCTGAATGCTGATGTAAGCGTGGCTGAAAGGAATTCTAGCATTTTTTTGATATATACAATTATTTTTGAGATAACACTGAATAGAAGCATACTTGTCCAAGATCAGACTCTTCTCTGCTTTTCGAATGATCTGAAGATCCAAGTATATTTTTGTTAGAAGCTGTCCCTGGTGGGGGGGTGGGCACACTTTCTCAGTTACAGAATTACTCTAACAATAGCTTAGTTGTAATGGCAATTTTAGTTAATGCAGTTCCGTTGTTTCTTACAAGTGAAGAAGAATTAAGTGCCTTTTTGATGTTTACATGAACACCTGTTATTGAAAGTAGTTAAGCTGAAATATATTATTCATATGTACATATAAAAAGCAGCATGTAATTTTATTTGTTCTTTATAGATCATGCATTGAGACTGTGGAACATCCAGACAGACACGCTGGTTGCAATATTTGGAGGAGTAGAAGGGCACAGGGATGAGGTGTTAAGTGCAGTAAGTGGAAGACTGTGGGGCAGTGATTTAGATTTACGAAGGGTAGTAAGCCTACAATATGCAACTTTTTATCCTCTTGTGCACTGTTTTATATTATACCTACTTAAAAAAAAAAACGAAGTGCATAAATACTGTTTTAAGGGGATAGACAAGTTTAAATCTCAGGCGGTTTGACTGATCTGGCCACCTCTCAATATACAGGACAGGTGTTCACTTTCTGTGTCTTTCAGTAGCTAGTTTTCTCACAGTGCAACCTAGAAATAAACAAAATAGAGCTCAGTGGGGCTAGAAAGAGTAAAAAGTTTTCATGATGGTCCCACTTTTGAAGTTCTTGAGGTCTTACCAAGCCAAAGCAGCAAGAACAAATAAGCCTTGAGAGACATGGTAGTGAAGGAAAGAAGTTATTCCAGGTGAGTTATGCTGCTTTTCAGTGGCTGTGAACAGACACTGGTACCCAGCAAATATCAACTAGAATAGTTGACTTTTAATACTCTGCTCTTAAGAACTGTTTCCATTCCTGTTGTGTGACCTGAAAGGTGAGGGGTGCATCTATATGAAACCTGACACTGTGTTATTCTCTTGTGGTTCTAAATAGACATCACCCATGTTGTAGCCCTGGAATTCTGCCAAAGTTGCTCCATAAGATGAAACCTAGGGAATTTACAGAGGGGGGAGCACTAGCAGTAGATTCATTGTCTGTCAGTGCTGTTGAATATACCTCTCTTGGGGGAGAGAGAGAGAGAGAGAGAGAGTAAATATAATTATTAAGATACTGTGCTGCTTTGCAGTGAGCAGGATTAAGTTATTAGTGTTTTTCTATTTGAAATACACAGTTTTATTGCATTCTCTAAGCCAAAAATGCTGTTTTGATGGAAATGGTGGAATAAAATCTGAGTTGATATAATGCAGCTTAGGCTGGCGGTCCTCAAAATTATTTCATATACATAGGATTATGATCTTCTTGGTGAAAAAATTATGTCCTGTGGGATGGATCACTCTCTAAAACTCTGGAGAATTAATTCCAAGAGAATGATAAATGCCATCAAAGAGTCTTATGAGTACAACCCAAATAAAACCAACAGGTACGTAGTCTTCATCGTCTTGGCTGTCTTTGCAAAATAGGAATGTTGTCATCAATGGCCCAGGTTAATTCCTATCCAACTTGGGAGTTCTTGGGGATAGTGAGTGACCCGGGGATTGTGCTGGATACTGAACCACTCTAGAAGATGTGTCTTATTGATGTTTGCTTCAGCAGAATTTTATTGAAGTCAGATTTAAAGTCCTGACACTCTTATTTTTAAATATCTTAATTATTTCTTATCTGCTTGACTAGAAAATGTCTGGAATTATCATCTCTATCATTCTTAATTAAAGCTTGTATTTCACTGTGTTTCAAGATGTCAGTGGCTTTTCTTTCTCTCACCTCAAAATTTCTCAGAAGTAATCCAATCCTTGTAATTAAATATAGCAAATAGTTTTACATTGGGTAGTTATTACTAGTTACTGTATCTGTTATCTGACTTTGGGGCGGGGACAATGCTGTTTATGTAGTAGTAACCTTAACTTTCATCATTCTCTGATCTGACCTCAGATATGAGTAACTTGTCAAGTAAACATAGCAATTAGATACATGATAGATAAATCCTCCTTTATGAAGTTCATCAACTTTTTAATCTTAACTTCCAGTTAAACCATTGAGGGAATTGAAGAGTCTAAAACACACTGAACATGTTCAGCAATGAGACTAGCTGTGAAAATACTCTCGCTTTTTTTGGTAATGTTACCAAATATTAAATGATGCTTTTTTAGCGTGCTTTTTTTAAAATTATGGGTTTTTTCTAGTGTGCTTTTCTATTTAACAATTTAGATGTTGCAGAAGCAGCATCAGGAAAACTGAGCTTTAATTAGTTCTTGAAGTATTTGGCAATGGAAGCTGTATTCAGCATCTGAAGGAGTGGTTTTGTTTAGCACTGTCTCTGCATAGTCTTGTACAGTGGGAAACATTATTAGGAATGAGGATGGAAACAGGGTCTGTTCCCATTATTTAAAAAAAAAAAAACAACCAAACAACAAAACAACATACAAAATCGACTTTGTTACAAACTGTTAAAACAACCAAAAATACAGGCTTGTCCTTTTAACATTGAGATATCTTAAAACTGGCCATTAAAAATTAGACTTGTGCTTCTGTGTTTCTCTGAACCTCACTTGGCAATTTTCTCCATAGGCCTTTTATTTCCCAGAAAATTCACTTTCCTGACTTTTCTACGAGAGACATACATAGGAACTATGTTGACTGTGTACGATGGTTGGGAGATCTAATTCTTTCCAAGGTAAAGTGGCAGCTTTTTCAGCTATATTACTTACATTTGCTTGTTTTGAGGATCTTAGACAGTAGAAGTTTTACTAGAATTTGTGTTGTAGGTTAACTTAATATGCTAGGTCAAATGATTTTATGCAGTGTATTGTGAATTTTGTTAGCTGTCAGGATGTGTGGATAAGCAGCTTGTAGTTAAAAAGTAAAATTATTACTACAGCTGTACCTCTGCTAACAGTACAGGGATACCAACTAACCAGATTGGTAGAGAATACAGAAAGAGAATATATAGATACTGATGAGGGGTCCTGCCGCTAAAGGGAGAAATGAGGGTTCCCATAATGGACTAACTTGAATTTGTGTTTATGTCCACCAGTAACATTTACTTGCAGGTATTAAACTAGGTGGCCTTACTGCCTCTTTGCCAGAAATCGTTGCATGCCTGGTCCTGTTGGTCGAAGGGGTTGGGTTAACAATCCTCAAGTCTGGGTTAATTTAAACTGCTCGTGAAAGCGTGTTTGAGCGCATCTGAAGTGGGCGAGGGAGGGCTCCTGCAGTCCTGTTACCTGGCAAAGCTGTGAGGGCAGCAGGCTCCCAGCGATGGGCAGTGACATATTGTTGGTGATGTGGCTGTGATCTAAGGACAGAGGTGAGATTTTCAGTTTTATGGTTATTTTTAATGTAGTTGGGGAAGCTGTGAGATGAAATGTTTGGTTATAATTATAGTTAGACTGAATGTGCAGTATAAATTGTAAATATAGGTGATTTTTTCACTGTTTCCCCCCAGTCTTGTGAAAATGCCATTGTGTGCTGGAAACCTGGCAAAATGGAAGATGATATAGATAAAATCAAGCCCAGTGAGTCAAATGTGACCATACTTGGGAGATTTGATTACAGCCAGTGTGATATATGGTACATGAGGTTTTCAATGGATTTCTGGCAAAAGGTATGTGTGAGCTTTGACTGCTGTATTTGGAAGTGCGTAGCTTTTCATTGATTCCATGTTTATGGACGTGGGAGGTCTTGGTTCATGTGATGCGGTGTTTGAGAAGTGGAATGATTTACTGCAAGGGGCTTTATATGAAACTGGATTTTTCATTCTGGGTTCTGCCTGATGGAAAAAGTTCCACCAAAGATATATTTATTGTACACTAAAGATGTGTTTACTGATGTCCACCTCTGCAGATGGGGGAGGAAGATAATAAAGTTGGAGAAAGGAGGCAAATCTTACAGCATTTCTAGCCCCTCCAAAAAACTAAGTCATTCATGTTCAAACATTCACACACAATTTATCAGCTATAGAGCCTTTATAAAATTCTGACTTCCATTCTCTGAGATCGCATTTTAAAACTACTATATCCTCTGCTTTCCTTTAAAGATGCTTGCTCTGGGCAATCAGGTTGGCAAACTTTATGTTTGGGATTTAGAAATAGAGGATCCTCATAAAGCCAAGTGAGTACTTTTTTTAATTTTATTTTTGTTAAGACAGGGAGTTGGGGTACTTTCCTTTTTCCTTTACTGATAACTATAGAAATTCTTTAACAGTAGTAGTCACTTTCACTTCCCATTTTAACTACTAGGTAAGTAAACATCCTGAGCCCCTGAAGGTTAACATTTATTACTTTTTACTGATTTATTTTTTATATTACAGTAGTGCCAAGAGGTGCCCATCAGATTGCGCTGGGCACAATATGTAGATATAGTAAAAGACAATTTGTTCCTCAAAGAGCTTACAAACTAATTAGGTGGAAAATTTACAGAGCAATTAAGAGAAGATGTGCTAGGTAGGTGTAGCACATGACAAGGGAGAAATAGGTGAAAGGACTAGAGTAATGAGAGTATAAAGGTCAGCTATAAGCATAATGTGGAAAAAACAGTATGGCTTTCCAGTTCCTCACCTGTGTGGCCAGGAACTTTTACAGCATGTCTTTTATATATATATAAAAACATACAAATACATAAATAAATACATAGAAATA